CTCCCCCCCCCCCCCCCTTCAATTTCGGGGGCATCCCGCTATTAGAAAGAAGCGTGCGTGGAGTGACTGGGGGGTCCCCGAGCTGTGACATCTGCCTTGTGGTGAGGAGCAGTTCAGACGCCCCCTTCTGAGCCCTTCGCCGCGTCCGACGGGTGTGTTTGTGTGTTTGCTTGCAGAACCTGCCTTCGGGGAAGTGAACCAGCTCGGGGGGGTGTTTGTCAACGGGAGACCCCTGCCCAATGCCATCAGGCTGCGGATTGTGGAACTGGCGCAACTGGGTATCAGGCCGTGTGACATCAGCCGGCAGCTCCGCGTTTCCCACGGCTGTGTCAGCAAAATCCTGGCTCGCTACAACGAGACCGGCTCCATCCTACCGGGGGCTATCGGAGGCAGCAAGCCTCGGGTCACCACCCCGACGGTGGTAAAACATATCCGGACCTACAAACAAAGGGACCCGGGCATCTTCGCCTGGGAGATCCGGGATCGCCTGCTGGCCGATGGCGTGTGCGACAAGTACAACGTGCCGTCGGTCAGCTCCATCAGCCGCATCCTCCGGAACAAAATCGGGAACCTGTCTCAGCAGAGTCACTACGAGTCCTACAAGCAGCACCAGCCGCCCCCACAGCCTGCTCTGCCCTACAACCACATCTACTCCTACCCCAGCCCCATCGCTGCTGCAGGAGCCAAGGTGCCCACCCCTCCCGGGGTGCCAGCGATCCCCGGCACCATGGCCATGCCCAGGACGTGGCCGTCCTCCCACTCGGTGACGGACATCCTGGGGATCCGCTCTATCACAGACCAAGGTGAGGAGGGGGGACCCGGGGCCGCAGCGGCAGCCAGGCAGGGCCGGAGTGTTTCGGTCCCCTGCTCCTGGGCTCCTTCCTCTCCGAGGGTCGGAAGCCGGTTTCGCGGTTTGCCTCGGGAAACCTCTCGCGTTTCCCCAGCCCGAGCCGGGCACCGAGCTTACCGGAGGATGTGCCTCGGGACGCGGGCAGATCGGAGGTCCCGGGGTGGGCTGCGGGCGGACCGTACAATATGGGCCGTCACCGCTGCCGTTGTGACCCGAGAAGG